AGATCCGCACTCAAAGTAGTTAAAAACACCTTACGGTTGTACTTCAATTCAGTTCAGGTCTACTCACAATCCTGCCATGAATTTGGAAATTACTCGATTGTCTGATTGCTCAACCAGAGGTATCGAATTACAATCACAACCTCTGTCTGAAAAAACTCATTTGACGATCGCGTCACCGCAAAAACTATTTATAGGAAAGTACTTTTTTCTCAGTCATTATCGGTGGGGATTTTTAAATGATTACATGTACAATTTCAGGTTATGAAATGCATATTTGGGGTGATTAGAATATTCAAGTGTGTGTCGAAATTCAGTTTGTGCAGAAATCACGACAGAAATCGATTGAGAGAGTGTATTTCATGCTTTGGGGACATTATAGCATACTAGTAGCAGCCCAAAAGAACCTTTGAAGTACCATAGCGTTATGTATGATATGCAGTATAAATATAGAATTATTAAATTTGTCACTGCTTTATAAGTATGTCTCTTCATGTAAAATCTGGAGATGGTGATTCTTTAAGACTACCATCTTGCTCTCAGTGTTGGTATTTTGAGAGGGGGGGGGGGGGGGCGCACGGGTGGCCCAGTCGTCTAAGGCGCCGCGATTCGGTGTGCAGAGTTGCGTCCCTTGGGCACGCCAGAAACTTATGATTGTGGGTTCGAATCCCGATTCGTCCCGATTATGTTTTTAGGTTTGTCAGCACCATACCCGTGCTCGTGGGTTTCACCGAAGTGGTAAACGTCTGAGACCTGCATCACTTCGGGCTTTCCTCCCACATTAAGCTGACACGCCGTGATATAACTGGAATACTGTTAAAAGCGGCGTTAAACCCAACTCACTCACTCACTCACTGGTATTTTGAGGAAATGATAACTTCAACTATTACACATTTCCAATGGTTATCACACAAATCTTTAAATGTTGCGCTTCAAATGGAAACACAGTTTATGTGTGTTGTGTATTGTTCACACAAATGCACCTGTTCAACTCTTCATTCAAGCATGGTACAGTGGTGACGGAATAAAAGAACAATTAAAATAACGACGCCAACAACTAAAGGTAAATTTCTTCACTGTTTTATGACACATCTGAAACAATACAGACAACATTTGAAAAAAAAGTAACATATAAATCCGCTGAATACATTGCAGTTTCCCGGGCATATTGAAGCTTGGCTAACCCTGCTTGCTTCTGCTGTTACTTTTAGATCTCCGTTGGTTCTTCTGTCAGTGCACATGGGTCCTTTTTACAATTAAAGGGTTAGTTAAGCTCTTAAGTTTCATTAATAGCATTTTGGGGAACATATATGCCCAATGCAGTATAACCTAAAATATTTCAATGTGAAATATGACATTTGACATAACCTTGCCACTGGGCAAGTATAGAAGAAAGTGTTTATGAAATATTAATCAATAAATAATGTTTTGTATTATTATTCCTTAACTCATTGACAAGTACTTCATATTTTAACAAAAAGGTTTCTGGTGACCTTCAACGTCATGGGAGATCGTTGAGAACCTTCGAAAAAACACCTAGTGATTGTGTATATAACGTTTCGTGATATTCCAATCAAAAATGCTCAAAATATTGTGCAAACAAGCTCTTCGAGACATCTACTTCACTCAGCGACCTTCGCCTAAAGTGTCATCAAATCGAGAATATTGCTTGTTGAGAACACAGGTGACGTGATAAATTCGTTTTCTAACTATGTTGACAACACTTTCCTAAATTAAATTAACAACAACTAATTTGATGTGTAACCACGCCAGAAGACAGGTATTAGTTAGTTACGATTACGATTGGAAAAGTCATTTCATTTTTATACATTAACTCGTGATTTCCTACATTTTATCCATGTTTTATATACATGTGTGACTTCCAGTGACCTTGACTTGTTACGCTGCTCACCTAAAGGCTAATGAGATAGAGACCCTACCCTAGTGACCATATATACCAAGTTTCGTCAGATTACAATCAGTGATAGCATGTACATACGTGTGTTGAACGCCTTGTTCATAAGGGGTAGCTTTTGAACTTCAATGTGATCAAATTATTAAACATGTCACATATGAAGTTATCTATCATAAGCTTATATTTGAGCAAACAAAATAAACAGCGCTTATGATTCATGGGAGACTACAACTACTAGTTGCACTACAGCTGCTGCTATTGATGCTGCTGCCACTGCTACTATTACTACTTCTACTGCTGCTGCAGTGTACACCTACTAGTTCCTGCCACTGCTACTAATTACTACTATTCCTGGTACTGCTACTACTAACACTACTGTTGCTACCACTGCTAGCATTACTGCTACTGCTGCTACTATTACTACTTCTACTGCTGCTGCAGTGTACACCTACTAGTTCCTGCCACTGCTACTAACTACTACTATTCCTGCTACTGCTACTACTAACACTACTGTTGCTACCACTGCTATCATTACTGCTACTGCTGCTACTATTACTACTTCTACTGCTGCTGCAGTGTACAACTACTACAGTTCCTGCTACCGCTACTAACTACTACTATTCCTGCTACTGCTACTACTAACACTACTGTTGCTACCACTGCTAGCATTACTGCTTCTTTCTGCTGCTACTATTACTACATTCTACTGCTGCTGCAGTGTACAACTACTACAGTTCCTGCTACCGCTACTAACTACTACTATTCCTGCTACTGCTACTACTAACACTACTGTTGCTACCACTGCTAGCATTACTGCTACTGCTGCTACTATTACTACTTCTACTGCTGCTGCAGTGTACACCTACTAGTTCCTGCCACTGCTACTAACTACTACTATTCCTGCTACTGCTACTACTAACACTACTGTTGCTACCACTGCTAGCATTACTGCTACTGCTGCTACTATTACTACTTCTACTGCTGCTGCAGTGTACACCTTCTACAGTTCCTGCCACTGCTACTAACTACTACTATTCCTGCTACTGCTACTACTAACACTACTGTTGCTACCACTGCTAGCATTACTGCTTCTTTCTGCTGCTACTATTACTACTTCTACTGCTGCTGCAGTGTACAACTACTACAGTTCCTGCTACCGCTACTAACTACTACTATTCCTGCTACTGCTACTACTAACACTACTGTTGCTACCACTGCTAGCATTACTGCTTCTTTCTGCTGCTACTATTACTACTTCTACTGCTGCTGCAGTGTACAACTACTACAGTTCCTGCCACTGCTACTAACTACTACTATTCCTGCTACTGCTACTACTAACACTACTGTTGCTACCACTGCTAGCATTACTGCTTCTTTCTGCTGCTACTATTACTACTTCTACTGCTGCTGCAGTGTACAACTACTGCAGTTCCTGCTACCGCTACTAACTACTACTATTCCTGCTACTGCTACCAATAGCACCACGGCTGCTACTATTACTACTACCATTGCTTCTAACTACTACTATTCCTGCTACTGCTGCTACTACTGCTATTACTACTAATATTGTTACAACTACAACTACCCCTGTTATTGTGTGAAGTCCGAACACACCTTGTGAAAGGGAGGTAACTGCATCTAATGGTAACTACTTGCAGTTGTCAGCATGGTTACGTGTTCGATAGTCAGCCTGAATCTGTTTGAATGTAACAATTAAAGCACTTCACAGACGTTGTTGTGAGTCCAATACAGATTGCAAATAATGAAAGATAAGCGAGCCTAGTTCAAGATCAGCATCATGAGTAAATCCTTGTATGTGAAAAACACTCTTCAAAAACTTTGAAATGAACAATCGACTGTTAAGTACATTTTGTTCAGTATCGTGAACGATTTTGTAAAATAATGTTCTAGTCAATAATAAATATAACCATCAACCTCATCCTTGCAATTTCATACGCATACACATACTACAAACATTGTCGTGTCAGTACAAAAAAAGTGATTACAGTGGAACTGTGAAACGCCAGTAAAATATACGAATGCTTCCTTTATAATCAAGCATTAGGCGCCTGACGGGTCTTTATTTATCGTGGGAGTGGATTTACGCCCAATTTAGAAATATTCCATCAATATCACGACAGACACAAAACATGGGCATCACACATCGTAGTCACGTCATGCTTTAATTAATATACTACAAGGCTATCCAAGTGCGTACTCCTTATATTGCTGAAACATTAAGGATCCGACGTATAACTTCAACCTGCTCTATGTGTATTGACCACTCCATGTCAAGCGGGTTATACATGTATTCGAGTACTTATTGTTTCTGCAATGTGTTTCTCCGATGTTAAGGCAGAACGATATGTTTATTACTATAGCTAGACGTACGTTGATTTTAATTTGTTGAGTCTCCAGGGTTAAAGTGTCAGGCATATCTCTTTGTTTTCTGGCAAAATACCTATCCATACCGAGATATACAGGACTTGAAGTTGTTCTTCCCATCGAGGCTATAAATCTACAATGGCATAATTTGGATGTATCAATCACTGGATTGTTTTGTCCAGACTCGATTACTAGTACTTACAGGCCGTTGTCATACACCTGCCATATTGCGGAGTGCTGCGTTAAACAACAAACAAAAGGTTATGGATGTATTGAAATCGTATGTGGTGAATAATCGGCAAAAGATAACCAGATTCTATCCCCAGACAGAGGTAAACGTACTAACTGGGTACAAGGAAGTAATACACACACTTTAATAGTATCCATACATTCTGCACACTGCTCGAAAAACATCCGGGGATTCAACAGGCTGTTGGCAGCAAGGAGGTCATAAAAACATGTCAATAATTTTCATATTGAATGTTTCGTGCAGAAAACACATTATTTTTCTTAAGAAGGGTTCATGGGTGCACAATGTTTACGTTTGTCAAACACACACTCAAACAAGATGTATTTACCTTTTCGTTTACTTTGAGAAAATGGTTCAATTTCTCTGTAAACACATACCTGTTTTAAAGATGGAAGTGACTGCTTTCAAAGTTCACCGTTTGCATCAAGACAGATTCACAGGAAATTTTGTTCAGTCTGACAAGTTTATTGCATCATAAGTACGAATAATTGCATGCCCAGGGTGAATACTTACAATCACACCATGAACACTTACAATCTCACCATGAACATGTACAATCTCACCATGAACATATACAACCTCACCATGAACATGTACAACCTCACCATGAACAATTGCATGCACATTGTGAATATCTACAATCTCACCATGAACACATATTCTCATTGTGAACACTTAAATTCTCAGCCTGAACACTTACATTCTCAGTGTGAGAACTTACTTTCTCAGCATGAACACTTACATTCTCAGCATGAACACTTACATTCTCAGCATGAACACTTACATTCTTAGGGTGAACACTTACATTCTCAGTTTGAACACTTACATTCTCAACATGAACACATATTCTTATTGTGAACACTTGCATTCTCAGTGTGAACACTTACATTCTCAACATGAACACTTACATTCTCAGTTTGAACACTTACATTCTCAGCATGAACATTTACATTCTCGTGTGAACACTTACATTCTCAGTGTGAACACTTACATTCTCAGCATGAACATTTACATTCTCAGTGTGAACACTTACATCCTAAGCATGAACACTTACATTCTCAGTGTGAACATTTACATACTCAGTGTGAACACTTACATTCTCAGCATGAACATTTACATTCTCAGTGTGAACACTTACATCCTAAGCATGAACACTTACATTCTCAGTGTGAACATTTACATACTCAGTGTGAACACATACATTCTCAGCATGAACACTTACATTCTCAGCATGAACACTTACATTCTCAGTGTGAACACTTACATTCTCCATGTGAACACTTACATTCTCAGCATGAACATTTACATACTCAGTGTGAACACATACATTCTCAACATGAAAATACAATGCAAACATATGTACATAGTTTAGATCTAAAAACATTGGTTCTGTTGGAATATTGCTGTCATGTAATACTCCCTCTGAGTGTCTGTGGCTTCTGTAAGTTGTGTTTCCATGTAAACTTACAGGCCTCCAAATCTCAGGGCTGGTTTATGTATGCATATGATCGCGTCACCTGAAACACATGATATTGGGCATCAGTACAGTGAGTGAGTTGGTTAAGGTCATTTTGGTGTTGGAGGAAAGCCAGTAATTGAGACTCATAAGCACAGATTTGGTGCTGACAAACCAGAGTTCATAATAAGGGGAAATCTGGGATTATATTCAAGCCCACCAATCGTGGGGAAAATTTGCACAGAAAAGAGCAACAAGTAACCCCGCTGGTCTAACAGCATCCTCTTGTCAATGAAAATATTGAGCTTCTTAAAATATCATGGTTCATCCTTCTACACAAAAAGAAGTCCACAAACCAATGCGAACATGCAGCCTTACCGCTGGTGGGAGTAGATGTTTCAGCTGCAGGATGTCTTTGAGTTTCCCCGGTAGAGGCAGAAGATGTACAACACGATGAAGCTGAATGCCGAAAAGCCGTCGAAGCGTGAAACAAGACATGTCCTGTAGACTCCTAGGATTTGAGGTGACCATTCTCAGCTTACCCAGCATGTTTCGACCGTATGTGGTCTTCAGATAGGGATGGTCATCTTCCACCGTCACCACACTCTCCTTCAAGACCGGGAAGTACCCAGCCTTCAACAGACTGCCTGCAGCACCTGCCAGTTCTTCACTTTGAAGCGCCAAAGAATATGGAGTTTGGTTATTACTGTTCACCTTGTCTAATGCTACATTTAAACCAAAAGTCAAACACCTAACGGCCGGAGTATTCCCTAACACCAGATGGACAGGGGTGTTGCCATCGGAATCCTGGAGCTCTGGGTTAGCCCCATAAGACACAAGTAGCCTCACTGTGTCTAGGTAGGCTTTATTTTTCAGGCTGCCTTTTAAATTGCCTTTGATAAATGTTTTTGAGACTTCACAAATGCATATGATGTTTATGTCAGCTCCAGCTTCTAACAACACATGGCATGAACCTGCTTGAAGATTCATAGCAGCAAGTTGTAGAGGGGTGCTGCCTTCACTACACACCCCTTTGACATCACATCCTTCATCTATAAGAAGCTGGCACATGTCTGAATGTCCTTTCTTCGCTGCATCATGAAGAGGGAAAAAAACTTGATTCCCTCTGTTTAACATTGACAAGGATATGCCCTTCTGTCTTAAATACTTAACAACACACACTGAATTCCACTGTATTGCTGTTTTTAAAGGTGTGTTTCCGTTTCTATCTGGGCTCTTTAAACTTACATGATACCTGTCTACAAGAGTTCTAACCACATCTAGGTTATTACACTGACACGCTAGGTTTATAGGTGACACACCCAGCATTCCTCTCGGAGAGAACCCCTCCGATATCAAAGCAATCATCAGATCAACATTCCCTGTGATGCAAGCGGTCTCCACAGGCCCTATTCGGTACATCGGGAGTTGTTTATAAGACTTTTCTGAAATGCGACTGTCCTTGATATACGTTATAGTTGTGTCCACATCTCCTTCGTGTATAAAATTCGTCAAAGTCCTGAGATTGTATAGTGTGACCTCATTTCGCGCAAAGTAGTCTGTATGACGAAGACACTGACCCATATTGACAAACGCGATCATTCCTTTACTGTTTGGTCCGTATCATATGCGTTGTGTGTTGTCCGCAGGTCTCGCGTTCTTGTCTTGAAGTTAATAACCCGCATTCTGTATATCAGGCCATGTAGAATGTAAATGTTCCAGAAATAGGTAACATGTAAACACGGACAAGTCCAAACAACTGGTTACATGTGTTCGATGTAAACACGGAAGTTGTGGCACACCTTATGGAAGGGAGGTAACTGTTTGGTTTGTAAGGTAGTTTATATTCTGCCGGGAGTCAGGTTACGGGTTCGAGACTCAGTGGTGAAGCTTTTTTTTTGTATACATGTAGCAAAGCTTTTGCAGTCGTTAATTACGACTCCAGTATCAGATATCAATAATGATGTCTGATTTCGGGATTTTTTTTAACAGCCACCATCTTGTGTAAATCAATGCATGTAAAAACAATCCTCTAAAACTAAAAATAAATAAATACCTATACTGTAATGTCAGATTAGTAATATAAATGATATATGAATTTTAGATAGCTGAATAAAGAAGTGTTCTTCGAATATTATTTGGTAAATCCTTCAATCAACATTCACACATACATACATACATTTCAATACAAAATACAACAGGCTCAGTAAAGCTCCTGTAAATTATTCGAATATTCGACGTCACACAGGTCCAGCGTGTGTGAGTATTGTTTTACACCGCCTCAGGCGATTAACCACAAGGATACCCACATCGCACTCTAACTGTATCAACAGCTCCTAATCGATCGATTATTTTCGATTCTTCTTTCTAATTGAAAACGGTTTATGTGCGTAACCAAGCGGTGAAGGTAGAAAGATACGTGATTATTAGAATTATATCTAGCTACATGGGCGGATACAGCTTTTTTGAAAAGGGGGGGGGGGGGGGGGGGGGGGGGGTGCACAATTAAGATCTATTTATTGTCTTTGGCGGTAATCTATACAGAAATAAAGATTTTTTTCGAAATAAAAAGGGGGGAGGTGAGCACCCCCGCACCCCCACCCCCACCCCCTCTGTATCCGCCCATGAGCTAGATACACGACGAGTTTTTGTTGCAGCCTGGTTCGCTTTAACAGTGCATCAATTTGGGGATACCCTCTCTGTACAATATACCGATGTGTCCTGAATAATGTGATGAACCTGAAGCAATGTTACTCATCGATGACAAGTATCTCCAACCACAATTGAAAGTCAATCATCGCTGTGTCGAAATCTGATGTGCCGTCGGTTTTAATTCTTATCCCGGAGAATGGTAATCAACGTGTTTGTTCATGTGAATAACGATCTTCGGGTATTACGGCCTTTAAGGACCAATTGGAGCTAAATATAAACAAGTCACTAAGCACGCGGCTGCTTTCTGTTCTCAGAATATGTCATGTTTGTTTATTGTTTATTGTTTTACGCCGCACTCAGCAATATTCCAGTTATTTGACGCCAGTCTGTAAATAATCGATTGACACCATGAACATCGATCTACGCATGTGGGACACTATGATATGCATCAGCCAAGTCAGCGAGCCTGACCACCCGATCCCGTTAGTTGCCTCTTTCAATACCGCATTGGTTGCTTCTGCGCACGTATCCTAGTGCATACACTACTGGAGGAAAGGCTATTATATACCTATCATGACGCACCAGTATATACCGCTTATACGGACTTCAGATATCCGGAAACCTCGGTTCCCGGACGGTTTTCATTCAAAACGAAATAATTACTATATAAATTTACCCGTATATACGGAAATGTACTTATTAAGATATTACTTCTAGTAAGAATTGAGGTATAAACCTGTAATAATCCGAGTTGTGGGTCCCAAAAACAAAGTTTGCCGCTTGACTGTAAAAAATATTCTGTCTCAAAGAAAATGTCAGTCGCCAACCAGGAATATTTAAAGGCTGGTCCCTTACGTTGGCCATCGACGTTTATAATAATGGCGACGGGACTATAACAATGCACTGTTTGTTCTCTTGAGCTTTATTCACATAACAATTATATCCCACAAGAATAAACATGATGAGACCATATCAAGTAAATATAGAAATCAATACCGCCTTGCCTCAATACATGTACTTAAACTGATAACATCTGAGGTACTGGTGTACAACACACCCTTCTGTGTTCACGTCATGTATTGATTTTGAATCCATTAGCATGTTTAAATCCACCTCGTTGCTATTCAACAGCTGATGATATGTATTAATGTACAAGGAACTTCCTCAATAAAAAAACATTTGTCTCCACGCTGCCGGTTTACTATTTGATTTTCTTATTTTTCTTATTCTCGAAGATTATTATGTCATATTGATAGGTCGTTCGAAAACATCAAGACAACAACGTGCCAAAAAATGAAAATATCTTGACCTTGAGTTCATCACACTGTCTAGTTCGATTGTATTTTGTTAGACAGGAAAGTTTTTTTGTACCTTGGTGGGAAAATATAAATATGTTTAATAACAGTAAAATGTCTTCGTTATCCTACATGCAGCACGTCGATTCCGTCACAGGTTTCTGGATTCAGAGGTCATTTCAGTAGCATCACTGATTGATGTTCTGGTGTTTACATCTGAAACAAACAAGTGCTTAGAATTTACTACAGTATATGTGTTGGCGTTTATGTAGGTATAAACAAACACCGGTGTGCTCACGTTGTGTAACTTTACACAGTATTCACACTGGTGTTTACGTTTAAAACTCCATAAACGCAAAGAAACATATTGAAGTCAATTCTTGTAAATAAAAACGTCAACAATAATAACTTCACCGAACGCTTATTCAATTATAACCACACTGCAGATACTGTAGACAACAGTACCAAATCAGTGACAGCATTCAGTGCAGTAATGCAACACAAGTCACGCCCGTTCTGTTATCAGCCAATCAGGAAATAGTAGTCCGCCATTTGGCGTGGCCTGTTTCTTTTTGGTTTATGGAAACAAACCCAAAATACATTTCTGGTTTGCCAAACAAAAGCCACGGAAGAACTTGTATTGTATTTAGGAAACACTGATGCAGTTCAAAGTGACATTTAAACCGTGCCATTATTTACCATAGACAACAGCTCGGGGCCTACTTCCAGTCTTCATTGTTCCCGCAGCTCTCTGAAAGGTCAAACAAGAGTAGATCACTTAACAAAACCGTGTTTGCATACGATGTGAATCATTAAGGATTTATCATTATTAGCAGCCCAACCTAATATTTAATCGTCAGTAAAATATCGATATAGTTTCTTCGTCAACTGCAACACCGCTCATGCACGGACACGCGCATGTGTTATGTTTACTCCGCACATTTACATGCAGTATCTGTCATAGAAAATGAAAGGGGAACGTCATGTATATGTACATTAGCAAAGCATAATGTACCCCCGGTACATGTACTTAAAAACTACCAACAAAGAGTTAACATAAATAAAAAAAATTATTATCCTTCACGAGCGAATTTGATTTTGTATTGAACAAGCTCTGGCGATGACGTTTCAACAATAATTCACGAGGGAGAGATTATCCGTATTCCAAGGTGCAAGGAGGTAATTCCACATACAGTGAAGTCCCGTTAACCCGACATGGTTGTTTGCATAAGATTGTGTCGGATTAACGAGTATGTCGGACAAACGACATTATGTAGTATCAACGTTCGTGATCGACAAGCTGACAACTACATGCTAGATAACGACCCAAACAGGTTGTAACAAACAAAACTGAAGAAGGAAATATTCAAATTGTTATGTTATATTGTAAGCAGAATGTTTTCCAAACATGCAACCTCAAAAGCTTAACACAAAACATACTGTGACGGGACTGTTATGTTACTGTTATGATTGATTCAAAATACCTTTGAAAGCGTAGTCTGGAAAGGATGTGTACAGTATATATTACCCATAGCCTGTTTCAAGAGAAACTTTCATCTTCATCTTCATCTTCTGCCAAAAACTTCATTTAATTTTTTTAAACGGTTTAATACAGATTCAACCCCTGAGGTAAGAAAAAGCTGAGGAGGAATACGTTGATGTTAAGAATCATATTATCTGCTGAATGTTATCAGAGATATTTATGCTAAAGATATGACAATAATCCATAAACATCCTTGATGATTAAAACGTGTTATAATCTATTTTGTCATTAATGTACAGCTTGGTCCTTTGTTTGGTTAATCCATATAATTAAGAAGATAACAGGCAGGGGATTAGCTGTGCACTAAACTGCGAACTTTGTTGTAATTAGTTGTGGGTGGTATGGGAAGTGAGGGTTTGGGGAGGATACCCTCCCTACTGTTAGAATCACCTTGCTTAAAATGCTCTCTAACGTCATCAAAAATAGATGACATTATCTTGGATAATTGTAAGTAATATAAACAATATTATTTGTAAGCTTTCAAAATGACGAAAAAGTTAGCGTGGGAGAGTCAATCAGCGTATGGCGAAGTAATCATTCGCGGTGAGACAAATTGATACTAATTCCCCTGCTAGCCATGCTCTACGGGTAGTCTTTCATCCCTTTGACATACTACACCTCAAGGACACGTCGTCATGGTCTCACTACAATACGCTCGACTGGTAACCTAGCGCGTCAAGCGTTGGTTCGTCGCGCCGAGGACCCGGGTTCAATTCCCCATAGGGGTACAGTGTTGTGAAGCTCACGTGTGGCGTGCCTCGCCCAGGTATTGGTGGAATGTTGCTTAAAGCAGCGTTTAAGTATACTCGCTGACAGTTCTACATACCTGTCTCGTGATGGACGGTAAAGTGTACAGTATAGGGTTGAGGGCCGAGTTGATTGGAAGAATGAACACAGCTGTCCATGCATACACCTCTCCCTGTATGGAGGTTCCGCTCAGTGCCACTATTCCTTTATACACAGAGATGTACATATATCACAGGGGTTCGTTTCCACATAGACAGTTAAAAAATATTACGTGCTTACGGACCGATTACTGTTATATTTAGCATGGCGAGAAAGAGTTGCCTGAGATGTATTTGCCAAGAAACCGTTACAAAAATGTTTGAAACTTTGCATCAGATGTTACATCCAAAAAAACATTTTTTCACATTGTGTCCTAAACAATTGCGTTGTTGGTCAAACAAAAACTGTTTGTCTTTTCAAGATAAAGTATGTCTTGGTAAAGTGACAGAATGTTAAATGGCTGGACCCCTCCTGTCATATATTTTGTTTTATTTTTTTGACGCACTCAGCAATATTCCAGCTATACGAAAGCAGTCTGTAAATAATCGAGACTGGACCTGAAAATGATTAACTTAATGAGCATCAAATCTATGCAATTGGGATACGAAGACATGACCTCAACTAAGTTAGCGAGCCTGTACATTGAGTCGCCTCTTACGACAAACATGGGTTCCAGAAGACCGATTCCGGATCTTCAAGAGGGTATAATTACCACACAAAACAGTATTAATACTGTGCCAAATAACTAGAAGTGGCAGAACGATGTACATTGAGCTCCCATACACGGGTACCCTTGAAAACAACATGCAATACGCGATGTACGTACATCAACCAATGAATGAGAGACTATGTAAGGTTATCTTAACAGTATAGGACATGAAAATATAAGCCCTTGACACAGAAGCTGATGAAATTTCTAAAAGGTTTATGGTTGAAATCTTTTTACCTGGGCCCACTTGCACAAACCGATCTTACATGTAGCCTTGCGAACATTGTAAGTTCATATTAGAATAGCAGACTTTACAACAGTTTTAGTGCTAAGAACGTTTTGTACAAGTGGGCCATGTATCTTTCATGCAGCCCTGACAATATTACGAATGTCTTATTCAAAATTATAGAATATGATACTCTTTAGGAAGTTGTGCAGGACTTGAAACTATTCTTCTGGTGTTCCTAGATACCTGAAAGTCCTACAGCAATGTTATGTCGGTATGTGTCCGGACTATAAATCTTAACTGTTTATTTCACTCTTATTGTACCGATACATTTGTATAATGTACTCACCCATAATGCAGACGGGAAACCAACACATGAAGTCCGTCATTGCAACAAAGAACAGTTTCTTTGCAATTCTCAAATCTTGCTGCCGCCTTTCCTTTCCCTTCAGGAAAGACCCCTCTTTGATAGAACTATAGACGGTCCATTGACCGATAGCAATTAATACAAAAATGACAAAGTTGACCGCAATAAAGATTGATACAGAATACTCCCACCCAGCCAGTCTTTCCTTACTCAGAGGTAGGGCAAGACATGCCCCGTTCCTGCCATAGAAGTTCCAGCCTCTCAACGAAGGAAACAGTGGAATAACAGACAAGAAGATCGCTAAGACCCAGGTACCGACTACTAGAATCCAAATACAAATTCTATTCAAGCGAACCTGGCGAAAGGGGAACTTAATGACCAAGAAGCGATCGAGCGTTATCAGACAGACAAACACCACAGATGCTTCTGACGACAGTGTAGCCAGTACACCAGCTACCTTACACAGTGCAGAGTTTCGCCATTCATAGTCATTCCATACGTATACACCTCGATACCGAACATCTGCACCCGCTATGATCATCATGTACATGCCCATCAGTAGATCTGAGAAACCAAGATTGACAACAAAGAAATCACATCCATTGGTAGTTGACCTTCTGTTTACAACAATTCTATAAATGATGACGCAGACATTTCCCAACAAGGCTAGTATTCCTAGAATCCAAAGAAAGGCTCGAAGAATGTCTCGATGCATAAGGTCCTTACATGATGACAGAGAATTAACAGGTGCTTCACATTTGTTATCCTCTATTGTTGAAGGTCGAACTTTTGAGCAGCAAAGTAGGTAGTTATCTGTAGAAAGGTACGTTAATGAGTTCAACCCGCTGAACACCTGCTCACTAAATTGCACTACAGGATTACCAGAAAGATCCAGATCCATTAAATATGTTAAGCCAGCAAAAGCGTTGTTTTCGATAAAGTCAATGACATTATCTCTCAAAAATAATTTTCTTAATGCTTTGGTGTACTTCAATGTCTTGTGTGTCAATTTCGCTATTCTACATTCCGAAATATCAAGGGAAACTAGACGGCCTAGTCCTTTGAAACCTTCAGGATTAATCCTATCAAATGTATTGCCGGATATATTTAGTTCTATTAGTTGCTCAAGCGATCGAAACACCCTCCCAGGTAACGATGCCAATATGTTATGACTGACATCAAGGTATAACAGATTGGTTAGTGTACTGAATACGTCCGGAATAACTATCAAGCCACATTGTGACAAACAAAGCCTCATGAGAAAAGGCATTGTAGGGAAATCAGTTAGTTGTGGTATGTATACTCCAGTCATATCTAATTCTCGCGTGTGGTTATGAAGCGAAGTCATGTTGAAGTCATTCAACTTCACAGATGTTCCCTTGCACTCGGCCTTGGAGGGACATGTCATATGACAGTAACGTTCATCATCACCTAATGGACATTGGAAATTACCATCACAAATTTTATCTGGACTGAGACATACTTGTGACTGACTACATCTGAAGAAGAATGGACAAGAATATGCATCTGAAAAAAGACCGAAACGGTACTTAAGACATGTATCCTACTCTAAAAAGGCACCCGATTTTTTATGTGACGTTTGTTAAGCTGTTATGGCTAGCAAGTATTGTAACACATAGCCTTCCAATTGTGGATGTTCTTTATCCATTTTTTAAAAGTGTACTTGCAATTTCAACCTTCTCCAGAAAATTGTAACTTGACATTGGCAGTTATGCTATCATCAGATGGATATCGATTAGACAGATTAACATATACTAGTACTTAGTTTTTCTTTATTGCTAGTAAACGCACTTTTATGGTCAGTACACTTCAAAACATTATTTGTCAGTAGTAGATAATGTTTTAAACATACCACAGACGTGTTCATCTTCGCCTTCTTTACAGTCTCTTGTCCCATCGCAAACGTTCTCAGCAAATATGCATGCGCCATCACCACACTGAAACTCATCTACAAGACACTCCCGTTCATCTGAAACCAACATTATACCAATAACGGAACGTTATAGTATACGTGTATTGCTAGAATAGGAATAGTTGTTCGGAGACGAGAACAGGGATAAAAGTGCATAAATGGTTCGGTGATATCAATTATACTTTATGGATGATGAACATATTCACACTGCTATGCCGATAAGCCCATATTCATTGCACGTGTGTGGAGAAACTTAGCATTAACTGCTGATTAAAAGAAAGTATACACCCATGTTTGACGGTGGCTAAATATAATACGAACAAGACAAGACATGGTTATTCGATGGTGATGTATTTGATACGGGTATGATATCCTTAAGTTAGCAGTGTTTCGGCAGACAACAGACAATTTGTACACTTACCACATGGCTCTATGGTAGATGGTGCAGAGAGGTATTTGCCGAAACCATCCGGAACTCTCTTGCAGTATTTCCTTGAGTCGTCAGCGGTGACTAAAGGAATGGTACAATAGTATTCGTGTACGACTTATGCATGTTAAATCATTTTAATTTTTAATTTGTAAAGCAAGATATCTCAAAAGACGAGTGTTTCTGTTCATCGCAATATTCAACACAAGTCTTCAAGTTACATGTAATGCTTGCCTGTTCAACGATGTCTGTTATCAATCCATAAACAAATATATCAAGGAGGCATCTTCCCTTAACACCGGGAGGAAAACATTGTACAACAATCATATTTCGAATTTTGTGGTTATAAGATGACATACACCACCAGTATATTGGGCTCGATCTTTTAAAATCGCAGATATGATGCCTCTTCGCTCCCAACTCATCCTCTTTATTGACGCCAGGACAATCCACCATCCCATCCTTCACCCAGTGCATGGGCAGACACGTGCCATCATAGCACTGGAACTGCTGGCACAACCCTGTTGAAAACGTTTATTTGGGCAATATAAATATAGTCTTTGAAAGGCATTTAGAAGTGATACACATGAGGAAGAGAATTTATGGATGTCAACGTCTTTATTATGAGGAACACAACGTTTCGGAGTATATGCTTACTCCCTCATCAGGTGAACCATTCACCCGATGAAGGAGTAAGCATATACTCCGAAACGTTGTGTTCCTCATAATAAAGACGTTGACATCCATAATTTCTTCACCTGATGAGAGAGTAAGCATATACTTCGAAACGTTGTGTTCCTCATAATACAGAATTATATAAATTATCTTCCTAATACTCATATATAATTATTCTTTCATAAACAATAAACTACATAAACATGCGATACTGCTGTGTTGGCAAAAATAGATGTCAGCTTTACGATTCACACAGTACAAGAATCAAGTTAAGAAAAGTACTGTTAAGCAACTCTTCAAAAAGGTAGGGGATACCCAGAAATAACTTAAACTTTCCAAAATTGTAAGCGATATTAGTTTTTCGTAATAGCTGTATGATAATAATAAACGATTTGGGAACACATTACAACCGGTAGTGAAGTATGACAGTAGATGTTATGACCGCCAACGACCTTGAAGGACGATCAATGGGAAATGTCACGTTTTAGAATCAGTATTGCGTAAGACCGCCCCGATTTGTCAAACATTCATTCACTCGACGAGGGATACTGCGTATGAATCTCCCAATGGCGATTTGAGGGAGTCTGTCCCACTCCTCTTGCAGCGCCTGGCCACGAGATCGGCTGCCTATGACGTTGACGCAAACGTCTCCTTATCATGTACCTAACGTGTACAATAGCTGCAATGTCTGGTCTCCTTGCTGGCCATGGCATTCTGTGGATGTTGTTCTGCTTCAGGTGAGCATTGACGATTTGTGCATGGTCAGCACGGGCGTTGTCGTCCTGAAAGACAAAACCTGCACCCACACGACTTGCAAGCGGGACAACAAAGAGTGTCAATATGTTGTCCCGATAGTACTGTCCACAATACTTGCACAATATTGAGAGGGGTTCGGTCAGGCACAGTGATGCCATCTCACACCATAACTGATCCGGACGCAAAGCCAAATCTGTCATGAGGTCTCAGGTTTGCTTGACGTTCATTTCAACGTCAACGACCACGCCTATCAAGGATGTGCAAAGTTAATCAGGACGCATCTGAAAACGTGACACGTGACCAGCGACAATTACCCTTGTTTCGACATTGTGTAGCAATATGACGATTTCTAAGGGCCGTTGAGCATGGAGATGAGCTGCATGTAGACGATTTCTAATCGTCTGACCCATATTTCGTACTCAAGTAGCCTGATGAAAGTTTACAACAAGTTGATTCTCCGTTTGCGTTCGATTTGGTAGAGCCTGGTTTCAAATCAATCGATCCTGTACTCTTGTCATTGACCTTGGACGCACTGAACGGAGTCGATCGACATGTTAGGTTTATTGGTACATGTTCCATAGTCTTCTAATCACAGACTGTAAAACATTGAACGTATTGGCCAACTGACTTCTGACAGTTTCCTGCACACCAGTAGCCCGTAGACGCTCGTTGCATACGCCGCATCGCTTGTTCATACATTAACAATGAATGGAATCTAGTAAATCACAACTGTATGATAAGCAGAATGAATAACACTGATAGAAATAATGGTCCACAGAGATCAATCGACCTTCCTTGAAAGTGTCAAAATCAGAAATGACACCCCTTGCGCGTGTGTGGCGCTGCTGCGTGAGACACGTACAAACTATAGGATGAATTTGATGTTAAGTTTTACAGACATAAACGATCTTGCATGGAATGTTGGTCGTCAACACTTATCTTTGTTCCAATACTTGGTATTTACATTTCTATTTCATGATCCCCCTTTTTAGAGTATATATTTAGATAAAATAAAAGATAGAATAAAATTGAGTTCATGGCAAACGTTATCTACATCTAGATACATGAACATTGAGTGCACACCAGTCTATTTACCTGGGTAATATTAATGAAGCGCCGTGAGCATTCACTTGGTAATGGAATTTGGCGCATTTAAATGGATCAATAATGATTATTATGAGGTGAGTGGTTACCTTGTCAACGACTCATATTTCAAAAGTTGGTATTTGGATTAAATACAGCACATATTGGTACAGGTTCGCAACTGCACATAACATTTACCTCTTCAGTCTCCATATTAAGTATTTTTTTCTAATTGGACCTTCTATGATACGTCGAAATGAGTGTATCTCTCAGCAGCTGAGTGTATAATTATATCGTGCATCAAACTGTGGTTGTAAGGACGTGGGCTTGGTGACAACTGCCTTTGCACCAACTACCGTATGGGACGTAATAAGCGCTCCGCTCTAATAAGCGCCCAATGCAATATTTGCTAATATATTGGCTAGTGAACAATCCCAATTAGCACCCCTTCCGACTAATCAATGTGCACAAGACTTTTCATTCGTGTATAATACGTGTGTTATATGCATCCTTAATTATTGGAAATTAAATTCTGGAAAAATATATCTGTCGTATATAAACATTTCATGCTGTCGGCATAAACCACGAAATTAACGATCTTTCAACTCTGTTGTTTTTCACCAAAATAACATTCTAATAAGAAACCCCTTTTTTCTAATTTTGAGAGCGCCCTGGGCGCTTATTATGTCAAATACGGTAACTCACCTTCACAGCTTCTCTCATCTGACCAGTCCTGACAGTCGTTGAAGAGATCACACACATACTTGGAGAGTATGCACTTCCCGTTCTGACAGCGGAATTCATCAATGGAACACGGCGGGAACACTGTGTAACAGAAGGGAATAGATACAAGAAACGTCACCATTGACATCCGTGTTTGTCGGGGGTGTCAGTAGTGTTATAAATATAAAACATCAACGACAGAAAGCAATCAGTCTCTCGATTATTCCACGTAACAGATTTCATTGGTCGTAAAATGCTGAATAGCGGTGAAACTAATATGAATGGTTTGTTGACAATCAGTGATGCCACCACGAAAAGAGCTCTCCCATTCTCTCTGAATGGTTATTGTTTATATATATATATAGTTGGCCCAATTACTTGAATAAACCTGACTTGACTGGTGTGGACTAATGACGATGTTCTAAGGCTAGCCCGCTGAGATACCATGCTACAGGTTACATAGACACCCAATACAGCCAAGTAGGCCTTGTTTTATCTGCCTAATGTCAAACACCTAGCTGGGAAATAGACCGCAGAACCTATATGAGTGAGTGAGTTTATGCTTTACGTCACATCGGCAATATTTTAGCCATATCGTGACGACAAAGAACCATTTCATTTATATTTTTTAATACGTGTTTGTATCGTTATCTTTCGTGTAATTGTCCGATTATCGACCACGAACGTTGATACTACTTAATTTCGTTTATCCGACATACTCGTTAATCCGACATAATCATATGCAACCAACAATGTCGGATTAATGGGACTTGACTGTACATGGATTCTATCGGGACAAATAATGCTACATCCCAGAGCACGACAAATGAGTAAAACAGTTACAGATAAAGTAGTCTTATAGACCATCGCAAATATATCGAGTCCTCTATAGTTAGAGCAAGTGGAGTGTCGGATGAGGATTCTAATGGGATCATATTAAAAAGTAGCATGTTTGCAACGACAGAAAGACTTTGAGTTAACGAGGTTTCGCTGCATTCGGGCTTCTTGTGTGACGCGATATGTGGAACAGAAAGACTTCTAGTTTATGAAGTTTCGGCATACCGCATGATCGCTCGTCTGAGTTGTCCCCGCAGTCATCCCTGAAGTCACAATACAAGCTCGAGGAGACACAGCGGCCGTTGTCACACGCAAACTGGTACTGGGAACAGTCGGGCTCTTCAAAAATAGGAGTGAATGTATTAGCAACATGATGACGGCGAGAGTGTTTAGTAATATTCCAGCTATATGACGACGGCCTGTAAATGAACGAGTCTGGGCCGAATAAACCAGTGGTTGATATTGTTTGCTACACCCCACGCCGTAGGAATAGATGGCACGCAATCAGACAAAGCACCAAGTCTGACCATCAGATTCATTTACTCGTTTAGGGCAAATATTTGTTGCTTGGGACCTATTCAACCCTGGAAATCCTAAAGAGTTTTTGAAAATGTTTATGGCATATGCACGATGCCAATAGTTGTTTCTGGCTACGAACACGTTATTTTATACAATGTGTATGTTTCTTTCATCTTAGCAAGATATAGATGAGACACACATATTTATGTATAAAGTCATTTCTTCATAGCCTGAAGTAACTTGAATTGAGTCAGTGGTTGAGATTTGACAGAAACCTAGAAATCGTATAATTATGTAATTATGACATATGTCTCACTCATTCACTCATTCACTCACCCACACCCCTTTCCACGTGCACTGATATACTTGGGAATCAGTGTTAACAAATACCATTTAAAAATGTCCCTTACTGCACATGTATTCATCACTGCCATCTTTGCAGTCCGACAGACCATTGCAGACACTGTGTGCAGATATCAGCTCCCTGTTGTCGCACTGAAACGTCAGCCGTCCGGTCTCGTTGAGATAATCAGCAGGAGACAGCAGTTGAAGAACTGGAACTAACATGACATGGCAGTGCGTAATGATGTTTAACAAATGTAAGATTGTTTTATACAGCTTCAAGACTTAGATAACTTACAAATGTAAGATTGTTTTAGGCAGCTTCTAGACTTAGATAACTTACAAATGTAAGATTGTTTTATACAGCTTCAAGACTTAGATAACTTACACATGTAACATTGTTTTATACAGCTTCTAGACTTAGATAACTTACAAATGTAACATTGTTTTATACAGCTTCTAGACTTAGATAACTTACATATGTAAGATTGTTTTATACAGCTTCAAAGTTAGATAACTTACAAATGTGAGATTGTTTTATACAGCTTCACGACTAAGATAACTTACAAATGTAAGATTGTTTTATACAGCTTAAAGACTTAGATAACTTACATATGTAAGATTTTTTTATACAGCTTCAAGACTTAGATAACTTACATAAGTAAGATTGTTTTATACAGCTTTAAGACTTAGATAACTTGAGTTGACGGTTTTCATTATTGATAGGAGCAATAGGGTAGTCTAGTGATGATGTGGCTCGCTCTTGTCTTGGTATACCTCGAGATTGATGGGATACTGCAGGATCAGGCGCAGTTAACTTTGATACAGCCTACAGGTGTTACAAAAATGTTCTAACAAGAATAGTACATATTGCTGATGGGAGGTAAGCTGTGTAAATATTGCATCTACGCGCTAGGACATTAAATTTTTCACAACTCCAGGATGACACAAGATAATATAACACAGCATTACTACAACCTAAAATTAAAGTTGTAAGACTAATGTTCGTACCTTGGTAAGAGCGAGAATGATTTCTGGCGGACGACTCACACAGAACTCCAGCCTGTAAACTGCTGGCACAGCCCATGTCATACCAGCCACCTTCGCGTACAGCAGTACACAACTCATACAGCCCGCCGTCAGGCTCCGTAGTAGACGAGGTGTTACCGGCCCTGACAGACACACAGGCAAACTCATCATGTTCGCATCCTATTACGATTTGTTACAACCCATACAATTTAATTCAACTGCAAACTTATCAACATAAAGTTCACCCCCTTTAGGAATCCAGGTTAGAATAGGTCCCCAGACATTTATGCTGGGAGTAAGAAGCGATCACTTGGGTCGGGTGGCTAGGTTCGGTGCCTTGGTTGACAGCGAGTCCTCGTATCCACGGCAGCATGGACCGTTGTTCACAATATCAATAACTAGATCCATTCTTGATATTTTATAGGCTGCTGTCTTAAAGCTGGAATGTTGCTGAGTGCGGCGTTAAACCACAAACAAACAGACAACACATTAAGTTTGGTGAAATTTATGGTTATTGTCATCCCCCTATACCACGGTATGAAGAGAAAAACAATTTTAGGTACGACTTTTGTTTTACCCAAATATGAATTAAAACGGCAATAAGGTACGCTGGTCCGTCACGAAAAGTGTCTGGTGGGGCGAAGTAGATCAATATGTAAATCCCTAAAGGCCATATCATATGAATTATTATAAAAATTGTAATGGTAATTTATAGGAGGTAACGTCTTGTCAAAATACATTTTTGGAAGATTAACCGACGTACATGTACAAGATCCCGCAAACGTGTGGGGAGCGCCTGCATGTTTCAATTAGAAAACACTATTTTTACCAGTTGTTATAAAGTAGAGGTCGGCCATCTTCCCAGAGAAATTGTCCCTTGAAAGTAGTTTGACCGAACGAGTACTTCCGAAGGCCTACAAACAATAAATACCGCAAGTATTGTAAAACCAATATTCAGTGTCAACTGCAAAACTAAATGCGACATACAATGTGCATGCAAGTACGTCATTAATAGATATGGACATTTATATAATTAACTGAATCATGAAATCAAGACAGAAACACAAGGTTGTCTTTGATTGACGTTTAGAAGTTGGTAGACAGGAATGCATGTAGTTGTTATGGTAAGAATTTATCTGACTTGTTGGCCTCAACCACGTGAATGAAACAATAAAGACTGTAGTATTTCTGACATCAATATGAAGACATATGCATGCCTTCAAAATAAGGTGTTTAATGGCTCGCAAACGAGTGTACATGTTCTACAACATTCCGAATACCTACACCAAGCTCAGTGCAGATGCCAGGGTGTGGCATGAGTGACATAAAGAAGAGTATGTATTTCCCATATTGAGTAAACCAACTGAGTAAAATGATTGCATGATACAGAAGTATAAAACGTCAACGCTTAACCAGTCTCGATTACTTCGATCTGGTATCTACATACAACAAAGACTTATGTTCGATCCCATGGTCAGTCTGTGACGTAGTTATTTCCTTAAGTATACGTACGTACGTGGCATCTGAAACAATGGGATAACACCTACACACTATCACTTCTATTGTATTTGTTGAATTTCCAACACATTACCCGGCTGCATCATAACAAAAGACGTCAAAAGATATTACTTGTTGTTACCCTGTGTCTGAGTCGGGTATCCATGTATAACTGCGGCATGGCATCTCAGTGGGCTAGCACTATGAAGTCGGCATTAGACCGGACTATTGCAAACAGCCACGCACGCACACACACACACACACAGAGAGAGAGAGAGAGAGAGAGAGAGAGAGAGAGAGAGAGACATGCTCACACACATACAGATATGCTCTCACAAGCGCATGCACGACGCTAAATAAGTGCAATAATCTTGAACGCGAAGTTAAACCCAATTGCACCTCACGTCGCCTGATTAATGGGATTCTCTTCGTGCAACTCGAATGTTGGGTCTCTGTACAATTCATGCTGTATCGATTTCCCTTCAAAAGAATACCTAACAGAAAATAGTATTCGATTGTTTGGCAAGATGTAATTGCCACGATGAAGTGAAGTATCAATGATGCATTGAGGCCTGCATATTAGTGCAAAAAAAGGATTGCCAATGTACGAAACACAGCATTTCACCTATATACACAGGCTGTGAGTTGACGAAGCGCTCCTTGATGAATTCATCTTCGGCTTGTGATGGTATGGAGGCCAAGGAGTACCTGCGAGATGAACATAGGTCCCTGGCCTCCAGCCACGTCCTTCTCAGGCGGTTGTTGTGGTAGTAACACAGGCCATTGTGGTATACGTTGTACCTGTCGCATGTTGCTGGAAAAAAACGACATTATGATGCAAATATGAAGATAGATGTTGTTGGTGTTTCGATAATCTCTCCAACAAGCAATTTTCCCAAACCTCGTTTAGCTGACATACAATACGATTTTACAAAAGGTCATCGGTGAATTGCGATAAAATGTGTGTAAACAACACGATTATACAAGACGATACATTAATACATGATTGTTCTTTTGTATGAAAAGTAATTGTAAAATATCATTCTGTTGATATATGTAAGACAACATTCACTCAATCAATCACTCATTCGACCAACGAATCCAATCGTTAACTTACGTGGACACAGCTGGTGATGAAGAGACTGCAGACCTCGAGATAAAGCTGACCCATTTTCAACCTTCCATAATCCTTCCTGGTCACTGACAATGTGGCGCAGGAGGTCGTCCTGAACAGTTCCAATAACAAGAACCTGCACGTGTATTCCGCTCTGGTGAAGATATTGCGCTGCCAAGACATCAACTTCACCAAGTATTTCTTCTCTGTCTGTTATCACAATAATCATGTCATGTCTTCCAAGCCTGTCCCCTTTCTTACTGGTGAATACATACTCTTTGGCCGCCCTCAAGAAGTCTCCAAAACTGGACCGTTCGTCTTGAAGCGTGAGGCTACCCAGCGCCTGTCGTATCTGATCTAACGATTGACCGTCCTGTAGGTACAGCCATATTTCACTAGCGCCTGTCATCAAAGCAATGCTGGTGTACGCGAGATCTAGCTCCGATATATAGAGTTGTATAGCTGCTGTAGTGGCGGCAAGATTTTTGTCTCCTATGTCAAGGACAATGGCGACATCGAGGTTCATCTGGCTGCAGTGGTCGAATCGAAGTGGAACGGATGCTAAATAAAATTAATATAATGGTGTAGCTAAATACTGAGCGAATAAAACATGACGGTTCACAATATGAAATCTAATATATTTGCATTTGTGACAATAAAAACATCTTGGCAACTGAAACATAATAACAATTGTGATTAAATAGAAGAAATGATTTCACACAAGTTTCAATCATATACTGTGCACACAACAAAACAAATATCAGAACTGGCAGGGACAGTTGTCGTCATAAGGGCGGGTGGAGTGAAACGGAAAAGTACATCTTAAATTGTCTTTCAATTTCAGTTTCATCTTAAACTGACTTTCTATTTCAGTTACATCTTAAATAGACTTTCTTTTTCAGCTACATTTTATATTGACTTTCTTTTTCAGCTACATATGAAACTGACTTTCTATTTCAGTTACATCTTAAATTGACTTTTCTACTTCAGTTACATCTGATACTGACTTTCTATTTCAGTTACATCTTAAATTGACTTTCTACTTCAGTTACATCTGAAACTGACTTTATATGTCTTATATGTCTAAACTGACTTATATTTTATATAAATTGCCTTTTATTTAATCTACATGTTACATTGACCTTCCATTTCAGCTACTTCTTAAATTGACTTTCCATTTCAGTTACAACTTTAAGTGAACAGTTGTCCAATATTGTCCTTTTCAAAAGTCTCTAGGTGGTCAACAAGAACATGATAAGTTTATTTTGCATTTGAGTATATAACCTATATTTATAACTTTGAACTAACTTACCACTATGGATCAACCTTTCAACATCTGATAGTGTTTGATTCATCTTCTCAAATGATCCAACGATGATACAGTCTCTGTTACTGGCAATTCCATCGAAATCCTCCTTACGCAGGTCGCCTAGAGCAACAACTATAACAGATACCGCCGCTCTCCTCACCTCCTCGGCTTCCTGAAGAACAGATGACATGTTGTCAGGTGGCTGTGTTGTTACCAGAACTGCAAGATTAGGTCCATATCTGTTGTTGTTCCTATCTTCATCCTCAAACATATCTTCTCGCATCATCCGCAACGCGTCCGTGATATTAGAGCCTCTGTTCTTCATAACTATACTTACAAAATCAGTGGTCTTGTGATAAGAATAAAAATGATGTTCTACCCGGGCCATGTCACTGTACGTGATTATTCCGATGGCATGTGCGAATGGTAACGTTGACTGCAGATTTGTTTCTAGATCTTGTAAGGCCTTTTTGATGAGAGCGAAGTTGTCCTCTCCTGTTTTGTCCGTATTGTGGACCATGAAGACTACATCACTGCTGTGATTAACGCTATCGTAGGTGTACCTGGCGGCTGCAAAATGATTTATTGGCTGAATATATACCGCTGATGTGTTAATGCAATACTGATACCTTTCCATTGTCGCTATATATTTGAAATGTGTTGATGCAAAGGTAGAATACTGAGTCACTTGAATCAAATAATACCTTTATCATCCATAATCGATTAATAATTGTAAAGAAGACGCAGCGTCTTCTATTGAGAAAAAAATGTCGATAAACTGACAGTATCTGCATGACGTCAACAATGATAGAACTTCACTATCGAATATGACGTCACTAAATCTCACGTCAGCATGTCTGCATTACGTCAACTTAGGTTTGTATCATTAAGTTGGTTATATCTTGAATTACATGAATAACATTGAGTAGAAAGAGACGTGTGAAAATGGCTTTCCCATGCCCTACAGTACTGTTGATGTAAGTGTAACTCTTTTGGAACCTAATACAGACGCTTATGATGACGTTGTGTATTGACTTCACGGTAGTTGTGACATCACAGCTTAACTGTGATGCCATCAAGTGGACTATCTCAGCTTCCGAAGACGGTTCTCGGCCAGGCAATGGCACGTTTCGTAAAGTGTGAAACACCAAAACAAGAGCGACCGCCTCCGTGGTCTAGTGGAAGAGCGTCCGCCCGGAGAGCGGAAGGTCCGGGGTTCGATCACCGGCCGCGTCATACCAAAAGACGTCAAAAGATGGTACTTGTTGTTACCCTGTCTGGCGCTCGGCATTAAGGGGCTAAAACAAGGACTGGTCGGCTCGGAGTCAGTATACTGTGTCTGAGTGGGGTATTCATGTTAAACTGTGGCATGATATCTCAGTGTGCTAGCACTATAAATCGGCATCAGTCCGGACTAGTACAAGCAGCCACGTCGCTATATAAGTGCAATAATCTTGGACGCGACGTTAAACCCAATTTCACCTCACCTCACCACCAATACAAGCGCCACGATACCATTACTAATATTGTATAGAGTGTGTGAGTGAGTGACTGAACGATACTTCACACCGCATTATAGTTTACTAAAAAGACTTATTTTGAATTTTCAATGTCAATTGTGACAGACAGAAAGGCAGATACTGGTAAAAAGGGTGTACTTACTGTTAGCAATACTGAAGGGACACATGACTTTACACGTAGCTAAGCCAAAGGTTAGCAGCGACAGGAGGAACATCCACAGCATTATCAGGCTCGGTGATGTCTGAAAGTGAACAGAATGAACCTGACTAAAGTTTGTAAATAGATGTGGTTGATTTTCATTCGTGACCAATTCGTGTTATTCCGCGACAAGCCGAATAGCGACTCGTGCCCCTCTCATGGCCATTTTTGCGACTGGGTTCCGTCTTACCGCAAACGGGCATACCTAAAACAATTGTCAACTCGTTGCGTAATGGTTCACATATATTTCCCCATATATTATATATATTTCAGATGCAATTTAAAGCACATCGGGACGTGTGGAAATATACAGTATGATTGAACACATTTAACTGTGTCTTGGGTATATTTTTAGATTCAGGACATATGTAAAATCAAAAATTATTTCTGAGGGATTATTTGACAAAGTACTCGAAATCATACGCGCATTCTGATTGGTTTGTCGTATTTTCGCACATAACATTCATCGATAGGGGGACGATTCTTCTTGCAGGGGTTACGGAAAGGGGCGAGTGGTGACGAATGGGTTGATTTTGCGTCATTTGACAAGAATCCGTATATTTAAAGCATGAATGGTTTCTTTCTCTTGTTCGTAGTAGTAAAGTTCATTTCTGAAGTATAGTTTATTTCTGTACAGAAGGTCACCGGCCCATAGTACATAATATCTTTGGGAATTGTTTGATTATAAAATTTTATAACATTAAATGATATATGAATATAGAAATATTTTTGACAGTACAGATATGGTGCGAAGAAAACAGTTGAAGAGTTGGGTTTCATACAGTTCGTGTTTAAAGTACTTTCTTCACAGACATTCATATTTACTTCATATTTATTTAAGTGTGTTAACATTTAAGCATCATTGTTTACACAATTTCATTTCTCTTGGTATATTAAAGCGTCTATCCTGTTGAATCATTATACCATGTGAACTACATCTAAACGGGACCAGTGCAACTCTAAACCTTTTCAGATATTATGTCAAAGAAATATCTTTCGGTGTAGATATGGAATTTGAAGCAAATATGAAGAGTATTGTCATGGTGCAAGTACAATTGAAGACCAGTTTTGAGAATATATATTCAAAAGTCTTTGACGTATATCCGATATAAAAATATAAACACACTTTGGTACATGTACTTGCTAAGCTTGCCAAATCTACATTTGTTCCGTAGACATTTTACATGATTAGCCCAATTGTGATAGCAATGTCTTTCATATAACATCATATCATAGCATTACTTAGGTAATCTGTGACATGACATTAAGCAGTTTCATCCAACACTTCAAAAGTTGAGTATACATTGAAATATGTAAAGCGGTATTCGTCCACATCTGACGTACATTGTTGGACAAAAAGAAATCTTTTACATACATGTCGGTAAATCATACATTTCATTGAATAAAGTTATTTAAAACCCTAAATTCAGATCGATACAGAAGTATTGGCGCAACTTCCGTACGGAATATTTTGAAAACATTTGATAAGAAATATCTTTGCCACTTTGTAAATTTGTGAAATACAAATGTATGCTTTCTTTGCTTGGGTTGAGGCACTCCTGAAGTGAGCCTTCCGTGATAATCTGTTCGTAAATGTTACTGTTAAATATGATTCCCGACATGGGTACAATGTGTGAAGCCCATTTCTGGAGTCCCCCGCCGTAATATTGCTGGAATATTGCTAAAATCGGCGTAAAACCATACTCTCTCACTCACTACTGCTAAATATTTACTGGAATGTTTGACTTTCGCCTTGTAATACCCACATTTCGTTTCTTTTTGAAAGCTTTTCTGAGGTCTTGAATGTTACTTATGATCACATTTTGAGCAAATGTCGTAAGACGCTCTTTGAAATCTTCGTAGAACAGGCATGCCCGACTGTACCTCAAAAGTTGTGAAACGTAGACACCAAAGACTGGAACTGCAGGAATATTACTCGACATAAAAGGAAAGTTGGCCATTGGAAAGTTGAAGTTATCCCTCTCGTCATAAAGTCTTGTAGAGAAGAATTTTGGTCACTCTGAATCTTTATGCAAAGATGAAAATCAAAATCAGATGAGTCGGTTTCACTGGTTTTTTATTTCTAGTTCATTTGGGTACATCAGTGAAAGGGGGGCGGCGGTCGGGTAGCATAGTGGTTAAAGCGTCTGCTCGTCACGCCGAAGACCCGGGTTCGATTCCCGACATGGGTACAATGTGTGAAGCCCATTTCTGGTGTCCCCCGCCGAGATATTGCTGGAATATTGCTAAAAGCGGCGTAAAACCATACTCACTCACACACCAGGGAATTGGTTATTTCATCATTACTGAACGATATCAGATCATCGATAAGCCTGAAGCCTAAGTTAACATTCTTGGCCAAATTGCCTTGTTTTTATTTTCCATATCAAATTCCGATTCATATGCATAAAGAAACAGATCAGTAAGAAGGGGGGCACAATTGGTGCCCATGGGAATGCCTATGTTTCATATAGATGTTATTTGTGTGGAAGTCAAACATTTCACACATTGTTTCATTACAAAACTTCACATGACATTTGTCCTGAACCTATGAAGATAGAGGTGTAACTATATATGTGGTCACCGCGTAAATAAAAGCGACAGAAAGAAATCTCCTCTAAAAGCAGAGTCAGTTATATCACTACATCATGAGCATGTGTTTATGAATCACCTTAACCTGCCCCACCAGTGGCACCTATCACAAACACAAATGTCCCATGGATCAAAAAATGGATTCTTTGTAAATGGATTTACTTTCCTTTGACGTGTGGGGATAGTGATAAACAAAGATGTAAAAAATCAATTGTTTTGCAAGAATTGGACTGAGCTACTTTCCCCATTGTACTACAAATGCCAGTTGAGCGAAAAAGTGCCGACGTCTAGTTTCTATTTACAAAAATAAAAGCTACATCCAACGAATATTGCATATAATTTACCACCTTTACTCTGTATGTACCTGTCGGTTAATGTATTTATTGTTATTAATGTATATATATCTTATTTCTACCTCACATGTTGAAAAGACACATAAATATTAACAAATTTAAATGGTTATTTTCATTTTATAACATTGACTTCAGAGCCACTGTGTTGGGGGTGAGATGAGGTGAAATGGGGTGTCACGTCGCATCCAAGATTATTGCACTCATATAGCGACGTGCATGCGTGCGTGCGTGCGTGCGTGTGTGTATGTGTGTACTTGTCGGCACTAATGCCGATTTTATAGTGCTAGCCCACTCAGATATCATGCCGCAGTTTAACATAAATGTCTCACTCAGACACAGTGTGGATCACAACAAGTAATATCTTTTAACGTCTTTTGGTATGACGCTGTCGGGTAATGTGTTGGAAATACAACAAATACAATAGAAGTAATAGTGTGTAGGTAATACTCATGAGTGCCGCCCAAGTGAACTCAACACAGTTTGCACATACGTTCCCTCGTGCTGGCCGCAGTAGCTGACACTGTGAAGTAGGTGTTATTCCATTGTTTCAGATGCCACGTACGTACGTATAGTTATGGCGTAACAACGTCACAGACTCACCACAAGGAATCTTATTGTATACAGATCCTTTATTACCGGACACTTAATGTGGGAGCAAAACCCGAAGTGATGCAGGTCTCAGACGTTTACCACTTCGGTGAAACCCACGAGCACGGGTATCGTGCTGACATACCCAGAAACATAATTGAGGCGAACCTGGATTCGAACACACAATAATAGGTTTCTGGCGTGCCCAAGGGTCGCAACTCTGCACAGCGAATCGCGGCGCCTTAGACGACTGGGCCACCCGTGCCCCCTATAAGTTATGA